CTTTTTTTCTACATACATTCTACTCAAAAGTCCCAAGTTGAGAAAAGACCTCTTTTCAGCTATAGAGTCATTAGCTATTCATGTTTATAAGGCAAATCTTCTCCAAAGCTTTGCAGATCGGTAAGGGCGGAGGTCCAAGGTAACTTTCTTTGAGTGAGTGTGTGCAGTGCATATAAGGTGGGAAGGAGCAGCCCTAGGATTTCTGTTTTCCACTGAAGTGGATTACGCCAGCGCGCTATCTGTAACGGCCTGTTCCTTTGGAATCAGCTCCCTGTGTCACAACGACCTGGCAAACTCGAATGCTTTCACTATCACAGGAGTCCTTGCAATCCTGAGTTGGCTGTGACCCATTCACTTTTGCCCCAACTTCTCAGAGATGCCTTACTCAGCATCTAATTAGTTAGGGAGGATTTGCCGCAGCTCTTAACCCTGACATAGGAGTGGGAGGATGTGCTGCTGTGGTAGCCCAAATCCGTTCTGTCACTACATTAATCAGATTTCCATAAAGGCATGCATGAATAATTGGATTTATCAGTGAATGTTAACTTACGCTCATAAATATAATTATTAAAAAAATAACCTGCAATTATAGATAAGATATCTGCACCTTTAGGGACTTGTTTTTCAACTGTGGCTACCTGACTCACCTTAGCAAAAGGCTTTGCAAATTATACAGACACACCGTACCAGTCTGCAGATGACGGAAAGATGAGGAAAATAATTTCAAAATGATCACCTACTATGTTCAATCCCTTTAGCATACCGTGTTGAAAATAAACTTGAAATTTTTGGACAGGTTTTAAGGCGTACCTCATACACTTCTGAGAATATGTTTGCGCATGTTTTACTTGCATGAACATGTTTATAAATATCACCTATATGACCTATGGTTGATCCATTGCTACTTTCCCAACGCATGACAAATCAGACCTCCCTGTTAAGGTGAAGTCTGCAAGCTATCCACAGACTTCCACAAGCACCTGTCTCTTACTGTAACAATTACCCAAATATTGCTATTTTCATGTTACATTACCAGAGTGTGTGTTAAGAATTATATTTGAATATATGTCTACAGTTGAAACTTCAAAATAAAACCTAATATCACTCAAATTAGAGAGTGGAACTAAATAAGAGGTAGGAGAGCAGCCTAGTAATTCAACAGGCTGAAATTACATGCCTCCTAATATAACATAAATATTTATTTTAACATCACGACCATACGTTTGGTCAATTTAGTCCTTTTCATTTTTAGTAAGACATGATCACTAAAACACACCAACTGTAAGAAGAGGAGTAAGAAGGGATGAGGAAAAAGTGCAGAAACCTAGGGATGGATGATGCCTGGCAGTGAAAGTCATTTTCAAAGACCATTAACTAGCAGCTGCTTTACTCAGGGCTCTGATTAAATAAGAATATACATCCTATATTAAATGAGATGTCTGCATGAGTGGGATGGAGTTTAGAATAAAAACATATTGTATGAACTACAAAAAAAGAATCAAACCACAATATACAATTAGGCAACTGACTTCTGGGGGGACAATGGTACATGTGCCTTTTAAGCTGTTAGTGAATAAACACTCAAATTATTTAGGGGAAAGAGGTAAGAAGTCAGGAAAAAAAACAAACACCACTTCCAATTTAAACCATAGTTTCAACAAAATGAAACTCTGTTTGCCTATATGAATAGAAAGAACTAAGAAACTGCTGGGAGAAAATTTCGTATCAAACATTCTTTAAAATTCATTCCAGGAACAGGAATGTTATTATATATTTCTTACAATATATTTTATTTATCATTTCTCTGAAATGTGATAGATTTTATATTAGTAAGAAAGTTTGCTTTACTCTGTCATATCTCTGGTGAGCAGATGCTCTGGCATTAATGTAAATCGTTGATTTAATTTTTAGCTTTCTTGGTTTGCCCCTCACCTATCTAGGAAATTATTTCTCTGGTGATAACTAACACATCATGCTAATGAGAGAATCTAGTGCACAATAGAAAAAATGTCACTATTAATAATATTTGCATGAAGTTAAATAAAGCAACTGTAAGAGAATGTCAGACAGTGTTCTTTAATAAGACACAGCTTCACAATGAAATTAGGTTGTTAATTGTGTTACATCATTGGGTGAATCCTAAATTACTACATAATGATGCACACAGTCATTTATAATTCTAACTTAGTATTTCACTCATGTCTGAAAAGAGACCTTATTAAGGAATCTACATTTTATTTGCAAAGGTTAAATATACCTTACCAATAATTAAAGGAAAATGCCTCTAGTAACGTAAACGTGTAAAACGTGGGCTACAGCCATTTACCTGCTTCATTTCTGAAAAGATTTCAAAATACATTAGATTTGCATCCCTTGAGGTACCTACAAAGAATTTTATATGCTACTCTCTCAAATACAAAACATTTTAGAAAAACCACCTCTTAAAACCTGATTTAAAAACAAAAAGCAACACTTCCTAAAGCAGGCCTTATTCTCTGCTTTAACAAAAACTTCAGGAGGTTAAAATCAGCAAAATAATGTTCTGGACTCCAGGAGATTAACAGAGAAGATGAGTAAAGGGTTTCTGGTCATTCTCGGCCTGTCACTGATCAAAGTAAGCCAAGTAAGGACTCCCTTCACTAAGTCAAGAGTCATGCCCTTTAAGGTTATCAAATATTTGTCTGTATAGAAAAAAAAATTATCCCTTTTGAAAAAATCATAATGGAATATGGGAGAAAATGTGGAGAGGCAGAAAAATGCACTCAAATAGTTATATCTGGAACTTTAGGAGAATATCCTTAATTCCACAAGATATAAATTGACTATCTTTTCGTCAGTATTAGACAAACTGAAGGATTTATGTATAAGCAGATTCAACTTCACTCATACAAAACAAAAGACAAAGATTTTTATATCTCTACCTCCTAATTTACCTATAAAAGACAAACCTAGATTATTAAATTTCAGTGAGACTTTTCTACTACAAGTTGTGCTGCAGTTAAATATTACTGATGGTAAATTCTCTTTAACTCGGTTTTCATAACAACCAGTCTTCTCTAATACTTAATGAAATGATCAGGTAAATCTTAAAAGTTTTTTATATTATTAAAGAAAACCTTGAAATAAAAATATATCAAATAAAATTTATGTCAAAAGCTAAAGCATTTTTTCTCTCAGAAATTACAATCATAATAGAAAACTATTTTTACTGTTAGCAATAAGATATACAGAATTTTGCATACTTGATTAAACTGGGCAAACGTTTACTTCTAGTAAGACAAAAGCTGGCTAATGTTTTACATTGAAACTAATATTCCTTTGAAACTGTTGGCTGCCAGAGATATCAGTTTAATAAAAGTGTCTTTCTTGCACACACACACACACATACATACACACACACTCTCTAAATCAGCATTGCTGATGAACTATAGTTAAGTAAAATAAACATGGTAAACATGCACAACACATATTTTTTTAGATTTACACATTGTTAAATTTAAGTTTACACAATATTTATACAAACTAAAATGTTATCCTAAAGAAGAAGAAAAAAAACACACACATGTAAATTCTTACCCTCTCTTACACATTTTCCAAAAATGGCTAGGATGTAAACATATAGTAACCAGAAGAGAAAAAGAGGGAGGAGTTGCTAACTGTATCAAAACCAAAAAATGAAACAAAATATAGTTAAATCACATTTTTTAAATTGTTAATTTCTCCCTTTATTATACAGTTTAATATATAGTATAATTATTATAGTTTTATATAACATAATTTTGCATAAATTACTTTCCTATATTTCTACTCTGTTTATATAGTCACTGAAGCTCACTGTGACACATGCATACACACATGCACACACAAAACAGACCTTAAAATATCTATACAATCAAATAGCTGGATCAAACACGTCATAACATCTTAGTTGTACAAGTTTCTCTGAAAATTTTCAAATTATTTTCCTAATTCTGTTCCATTATTTATATAATTTACTTTTATTTGTATTTTTAAGCTAAAATGTTTTCCACAACTTAATGTCTCTTTAGATTCAAATCTACTTGAAAATGGGCTAGTGCCAAAGAAGCAATCTAACACCATCTATGTGGTTCAATAGCCATTTATCAATTGATCATTATCTCTATCTGGTTTTATTAACTCTTTTCTAGCTAGAGGGAGACCTAAACCAATTTTCCCTTTCAAAACACACACACACACACACACTGACCTCCACTAACTCACTCAAAACCCTGAAGGTAACATCTAATTTTTAAAGCGTGGCACAAGTTATTTGGTCCTAAGGTCAGTAAAAACACATTGTGTTCCAACCACAAACAGAGCCACCCAGGCAGGGATATGCTCAGCAGCACACCTCTCAAAGCACACTGCAATGACAAGGACTATCTCTGGAGGAAATGAACCTAACTTGGTAGAATGGGAAACGGCACATACAGAGTTGCTTATTGGGTTTATGTTGATTGCATTTAAACCCCAGCTTACCGTATCAGCAGTAATCAGGGTCCCTCTACAGGATATGTCAAAATACACCTTATTCAAATGCATTTATCCTTTCTAGAATTCTGCGATCAAACTGTTCGCTAGCTATAATGCTACAAAACCCTGGAACTGAGCACAACATTCTGCAGATGGATTTCTAAGCGAGGGTAGTTTATAGCCTAGCAAATTGTTTTCTTTCCTTTATGATCAATACTTTTAAAAAATCTAAATCAATGCAATAAAATATTTCCTTCTCATGCACTATTACAAACAAAACAGGTTTTTTTTCTTTTTAAAGAAAGCAGGTTTGTTTGTTTTTTTAAATAAGAAACCATATCAATTTCTTAACCGTCATCTGCTCAAAATTCAAGTATTTGTCCGTGACACTTTCGTGCTGCGTGGATGATACTATCACACTAAACTCTGGCTTTGTGCGAAGGGTTTGGTGCAGGCTTTTGAAAAGCAAGACGTTGTCTAGGAGGGAGGCACCAGGGAACTTCCCTCCCTCGCTTGAGCCCAGTCCAAGATGAAAGTTTTCTGGGCTGTTTCCCTCTGCTTCCTCCTCTCACCCTCGCTCCCCCTCGGAGGAGCCGCAGAGCCAGCAATTGTGCAAGAGGAGCCGCCGAACGCGCAGGACGCGTATCACGGAGCGCATGGTACGAGCCGCCGGCCCGGTGATTAATGATCAGTAGCCGCTGGCCCCGCACTAACACCTAGGCTTTCCGGGCAGAGCCAGCACACCCCGCCGCCGCTGCCAGCTCGGCCGGACCGAGGAGAGGCTCTGGGGAGGACGCCGAGGCTGCTCCGGAGTGTGAGTGCGCCGGCCGGCGGGCGAGCGAGCGGGCGGGCGGGCGCACGGAGCCGGAGCTGGAGGCTGCGGGAAGCGCAGGAGCAGCGGAGGCGGGCGGGCGGGCAGAGGCGCTGGGACCGGGGCCGGAACAGCCCGCCACGCACCCGCCTCCTCCTCCAGCGACTCTGGACCCTGCGCGCTGGCAGCGATGCCTGCACAGCCTCCTGCCCTCGGGTCGGACCTGGAGCTGCTTCCAGCCCCAGCAAGTCAGCTGGGCTGTGCGGAGGGGACCCTACATGCTGTCACTGTGTGGCTGGAGAGCCTCCTCTGAGACAGCAGACACTTTGATGAAGTGATCCGTAAAGAGAGAAAAAGATACATCTGTGGGGTTGGGTGGCTTTTAGGGGAAAATTTTTTTTATTTTTTTTTTAACGCAAAACAAAGAAACCGTCTTCTCTGGACCCAGGTGGTACTGTGAAACTTTGCAACAAATGCCTCTGCTTTCTTTGACTTCAGTATCCTTTCCCCCTTTTTTTCCTTTAAGGAGCCCTTAGGGGAACCAGGAAGTCACCCTGCCATTCCAGTAACACAGTCATGACAAAATTAGAGCCCAACTAGGAAGTGATCAATTTTTTTTTTTTTTTTGGTACATGTTAAGAAAGAAAAACAGCAGAAACAAAAGTGCACATAACAATTCAAGATTTCTTTAAAAAAAAAAAAAAAGAAGAAGAAAAGAAAGTAACTTACCTGTTGGGACATTCTGAATAAAAGGTTAGTATCAGCGTTTTGCCATGTCCCCATGAACCCTGGTTCAGCCGCAGTCGTTCTGGTTCCGAACTGCATGGAGTTGTCAGTACAGGAGCCTCTTAAAGTCAAGTCTCTTGCCCTCTTTGGCTCTCTGTCTCTCTGTGTCTCTCTTTCTCTCACATCCACTTCTGCCTCTTCTGACTGAAAAGTGAAGGTGGATTTTTTGAGCCTCTTGGCAGCCAGTAGCAGGAGGGTAGTGTAGTTAAGAAGCTGGCTGAACTGTGCATTTCATTTGGGGAGGGGGGGCGCCCTGGGGGAGGGAGGGGGGGGTCCGAGCTTCTTTCGCACCTTCTGCACAGACACCCCTATCATGTATGCATGGACTGTGACTCCCCGGGCTTGCCTTGGCTCAGTTTAACAGCTGCCTGTCAGGTGTGCAGGCAGCACTGGAGACCCAACCATCAGCCTCAAACTCTCAGCCACTGCATGTCATTGGACAGCAGAGCTAGGAGTCAACGGCACCCGTTCCACTGTCAGGCACCAAATGACACCCTGTGCTCACCCCTCCTGCAGACACACGGAGAGATACACACACACTTCTGCCCTCTCCGAGCAGCGCCACTCCCACGGACAGACCGACAGCACACGGGGTGAGGAGGAGCGGGGGCCCTTCCCTGGGAATTCCCCCCAACAATGCTTTCAGGTATAACATGCAGTATCTGGCATCAGTCTTTGCTCTAACATTTGTAAAACTGCTAGGCTTACACACTATTTTTTTTTCTAGTTATACTGGAAGAAAAAAAAACAAAACATTCAGATGTAAGAGAATGTAAAATTGGCTCAGTTGTTGTCAAAATGTAAACTCCCAAAAGTCATAATAGGAGTGTGCTGGGCTATTTAGAACCACGTAGAAACTCCTAAAGGAAATAATATGCATAGGGACATAACTTTACACTCTAAGAAGTAAATAAATAAACTTAGCAGTTTTTTTCCTAACAAGGAAGATGCACAGTAAACATTTGCAAAATACATGCATGTACACTACTTAATGTCCAGTACCTCAGGTCATTCATTAATTACTAAATTGGATGTTAAGTAATAAGAAATTGAATGACAAAGGGAAAAAAAGTATACCTTTTCTTAAAGTTCAAAAGTAGAGAAAAGTCCTTTGTGAAAGTTGCTGGATGAAGCATCTACAATATCCTTCCAAATCATAAGAAGAAGAAAAAAAGAAACAAAATGAAGGGGAAAAAATCCTATCCGATTTCAGGCAAAAAGCAATGAATACAAAATTCCATTTTTCATTCAACATCTCTATGGAAAATTCTACGTTTTCCTGCCTGATGAAATATAACCTCCGATAGCATGTCATATTCTTAATTAAAACTAGTTTTTAAAAGAAAATACCTATTTATTAGATAGTATTTATCATACCCTATTTATGGAAAAAGCAGAACTGAGCAAAATGCACTGTACATAAACAGTGACTTCCAAATGGAAAGCTAAATTCATGTCATCTCGTAAAAGTAGTCAGCAGGAAAAAGCCATCCTTCCTAAACTTAAAATGTAAGGAACATTAATCTTCAACTACCTACAAATATCGAGGACAAATGTACCACTCTCCTTGCTCCTTCTTAAACTGAAGAATAACAATAAACCTTACTCTCTGAAACAACAAAAGGCACAGAAAGAGCTTCAGTGGCAGCTCTGTGTCATTAGTGGACAATGAGAAAAGATGAGAAAACGTACACTATGTTGACACAAATGTGCCTTCCCCTCTAGATCCAACATCTCCTGAAAGCTTTTCTGTTAAACTTCCCTCCGGTTCACCACCATTAAGCACAAAAAAGTCTCAAAAGCAGCAAATTCAATATCTGAGAAGAAGCAAACAAGAACCCAAAGAATTGTTGCCTTAAAATATATTAAGTCCACCTGTGGTCAATAAATATTCTTGCAGGGGGAGGGCAGGAAAAGACCCTATGAGTCAATTGTCAACAGTGACTGTACCTTTACAGCTAGCTATTACCCACTTAAACTCCCTCTAAAATTTGCTAGCCTCTTGATTTCTGAAGTGGCACTCAGTGCCTCAGTCAAGCTGCCTGCTCAGCTCCTGACCTTCCCACTAATGGCTGTTATTTGTGGGAGGCTTAAGGACACTGTCAATAGCGTGCTTCCTCCTCGCTCCTCTCAAGCTGTTGTATTGCTCTGCCTGCGTGTTCTCTCTCGCCTGCTTCTTGCTCTCTCTAGTCCCCCCTCCTCCCTTCCTCTCCCCTTAACTCCCTCTTCCTCTTCTTCCAGCCCCCACCTCTTTTTTCTTTCAGTCCAGCAGTCCTCTTCTTTCCCTGCTATCCTCCCCCCAACTCCTCTCTCTCCCTCCCTCCCTCCCTCCCTCTCTCTCTCTCTCTCTCTCTCTCTCTCTCTCTCTCTCTCTCTCTCTCTCTCTCTCTCACACACACACACACACACACACACACACACACACACAGAAAACAACACAAAAATCAACTGGCATGCAGCAGCAAGCACCTGCAGTAATAGACTCTTTTATTAAAACTGTTATTCTGCAAGACTTGAAATTCCCCGTGGACCAGGCCATGTCAAAGCCGATATAATTAACTAGAGGCTCAGCAACGGATCAATTACCAGACAAGCAAGTGATAGTGAAATCAATGAAAGATCATCAGCCACATTATCAGTGTTGCAACTCATTAGGGCAAAACTGAGAAATGTGCTCAAAGCGAGCCCAAGCAAGGTGGCATTACAAAACAAAGGGCTAATTTGGAGACCCTGCTGTGAACAATCTGTAACAGAATTAGCCTTTTTTCCCCCTAAACTGCACAGCTCCGTAACTAAATGTGACAGACTGAGAGAAGCAGTTTATTAAGACACCAACCCCAAGTTTATTTAGTTCATAAACTCTCTCCTAAAAAAATCAATACAGTCTGTACAGGGTTATTAGGCTGACTAGCTAATACATCCAAATCTAGTCTGCTCGGCCAGCAGTCTGCTGACAAAATGCTGTCTAGCGCAGGCAAACTGAGCCATTTCAGACATCAGTGTCTGAGGTTGCTCTGAAGCAGGTCTGCCATGTAACTAGTACCTGCATATTACTGTCAAGGCACAAGCCTCAAAATTACAGGGATGGCTTTCTAACGTTCAAAGTATTTTTTTTCCACAACAAATCTATATCATCCGATACTGCACTGGGAAGTGGATTTGATTAAAGGAAAATTTAACTAGTCTGTAAGACTAGTTTACAAAGACAACAAGCTTTATTACAGAAAGAGACAACAACAAAATATACCTACAAGGCACAAGAATGATTTTTGAGTTTGTCCACTGGCTCAATAGTCTGCAGAGTATGAAACAGCTATCTGGAATCATTTGTGATAAAGTTATTTAAAACTGGGGGTGGCAGCAGTGGAGGCAGGTATCACTTCCACAGTAAGTGCTTTTTTTCTGCCCTGGTTTTATGTATTTCAGGTTAAAGAACTGCAAATACTAAAGGCTATGTGTTGGCTGATAGTGAGAGATGTACCGTGGAAATTAAGGAGGACACCAACCAGGTCTAAATGGCACCCATGACAGTCAAGACAATATGGGAATGGGAATGCCTCCACCTCATCAGAACTCATACACAGATTAAGAAACTCCCATGCAGTCTACAGTGTTAAAATAGACTGGAGAACTGAAGGAAAAGGTGACATTTTGAAAGTGATTTCTGATGTTTATGATGTTTAACATTTAAACTGTATTTTCCCAGAACTTCAGTAAAATCCAACTTATTGATTGTTGCAAATAAACATCTTCTTACTTTGGAGCTGATACTTGCTAAGCATTTCATAGCGCAAATTGAGTAATCTGTTCAAAAAAAAATGTTAGCCATATGTATTCTAAACCTATACTACAGATGCTGATGTTTTGGGTAATAATTAAAAGTTGTAATTACAGAGAATTTAAAAAAAAAATCTTTTTGCATATAGCTTCACACTGTGCATGTACCCTCAATGAGGTCCAATTAGTTGCAAGGAATTTGCATTTCCGTGTTGTGTGGGATAACAAGACTACAGGGAGGCACAACACAATTCCACCAGCAGAGGAGGAGAGTGGGGTCCCTTCTTGTTAGCTCTGTAAGCAAGAATTCCCACAACTGACTGTTTAAAATGTTACTGATCTTTCCATTATTTGGGTACTGAGGTAGGTTTAGGTCTTCCCCTCCAAAAAAGAAAAAGAAAAGTCACACGTTGGTTTCAACTATCAGCCCCAGTAAATAAATACCTGAAGGAACAAATGAGCAAGGGATTTTGCTTAGCCTGTATGTTTGTGGTTTTATTTTTGTTTTGGGAGATGGGGGAGATCTTCCATACTTTTTGTCTTCTTTTTTATATCAATACTTACTATACCTCCTTTAAAAACGCACTGCTTTAAAAAAAAAAAAAAATTCCATAACAGGGGTTAGGGAAACCTCACTGAGACAGTTATATGTAAATATAAGGTTTGGAGATAAAAGGCATGTGTTTAGTACACTAAGAAAGTACTCAAGGATTTTCATGCATGTCTAGCTATGTCCCAACAGTGTAAATGTAAAATAAATGTGCAGCTCATGTACACAGTTTCATAGGCATCTCCGGGACTTCTGCTGGCCCACAGAACAATACCTGTAATTCCCCGAGTTCAGTTCAGCAGCTGTTAGCAGATTCTGTAATCTGTAATGACAGTAAACTGGCCTTTGCTCTTCTTTTATTCACTATTCATTTTCAAGGCTTGGTTAAGTACAGAGCTGGGTTAAAGATCAGTGGTTTTTCATGTGACACACTCTGGTATTCATCTAATGGCTTGTCAAGACAAAACTGTCCCTGTTCTTGCCAAAATAAAAATGACGCTCCACATCGCATGACAATCAGCACTTCCTAATGGCAAAACAACTCAAGCTTTTGTAATTCACTTATAGGAAAATGTTTAATAATTGGCTCTCTAGCCCTATATGTGGAATTAGGTTGTCATTCTCAAAGGAGATTTAAAGAAAAAAAATGTTTTAGCCACTCTTAGTTCTGAAGCAACAAACATATAGTTTGTGATCAAATTAGACTTTACTGTATAAAAGTAATGCTGAAGCTACAAATTTGTATGACATTAAGGTATGTAACTTAATATATGCAAATTATGCAGAAGTGGCAGGCTAGGCCCAGGCACAGAGGTAGGGAGAACCAATTGAGGAAATGTCATTTTTTTTTTTTTTAACAACAAAGTATGGGACTTGCTTTGCAACATCTGTTGGGCTGTGTAGTATTAACAGATGTCTTAAGTGAAAAAAGGAAAAAGAATTAATAAAGGAAACCTCCTCTGAACAGATAATCCACCCAAATTTCCATATTCCTGAGGGGAAAAAGTTGACAGCAGCCTTTTTCCCCTGTGAAACCTGCCCTCCCTGTTTTATGGTGCACAGTTATGTTTTCTATGTGAAGTAAAGGAGGAACACGTTTGACTCACTGTAGAGAAGAGAATAAAGAAAAAGGAAAACTAACAACTTCAACCGCAGTTTTCCCTTGTGAATAATTATATCATAATCCAAGCTGCCTGTTTTCCCTTGAGTCACATATGTAAGCTGATGGGAGGACAGTGAAAACTTCACCCCCCCAAAAAAACACTCAAAAAGATGACCTATAACTGTACTGAGCCTTCATGCTTTGGGGGAAAGAAAGGAAGGAAAATGTAAAAGCGCCTCGTAAGACACAGTGCTGATATGAACACATTTCCACACATTAAGGCGCTCATCTTCGCCATTAGGGTTCACCCATTATTTATACCGAAATCCTCGCACTCTCCCCTGGCTCCTCATTTCCATTACCACCTTTCAGATCCTCATAAGGTATGAAATGCCCCTCTTTCACAGACAAGAGGTCCACAGCAGTGAGGTCTGATGATCACAAAGAGAACTTTTGGATTCTACCAGCTGGATCTCTGTATTTAAATTTTAAGAAAACTGGGAAACTTTTCTTAGTTAGCAATTTCCATTCGTGTTTCAATTTATTATTGGATTTAGGCAGACCTGAGTGTAGCTGCCCTTAATCCAGATTACAAAGATGATGCACATATGCCAGCCATTGAGTCTAACCTGGTGCTGGTTTGTGGGTAAATAACGTAAAAGATGGACCTGTATCCTTCTATAAATCTCTTGGCAGACACCTATTCTACTGCTTATTCTCCAAAAATTTGGGACATTCACTTGGGTTAACAGCTAGCTTGTGGATTAACCAAATCAAAATTCAGTCAAGGATCTTGATATATTCAAGTGAAGGGGGGAAATGGTGTTGTCTTCTCTGATTGTTGGTCTCTCTCTCCTCTATGAACATCTGGGTTAAAATTTTACGTTATCTCACGTTTACCACTATACCTTATCCATATTGCTCTGGCAGTGGGCCGGAGACATTTCAACATATAGAAATCTCAAGGCCTGCACACCCAAGAGTCACAGGTTCGATTCCTGGTCCAGGACACATATTTAACCTAGGCCAGGGTGTGTTCAGGAGATAACCAATCAATGTGTCTCTCTCCCATCAGTATTTCTCTACCTCTGTCTCTTTCCTCCCTTCCACTCTCTAAAAATCAATGGAAAAATTACAGATCTTGTAACATAGAAATTCACACCTGAAACCTGTTATGTTCATGTTGACCCATGTCACCCCAAACAATTTAATAAATTTTTAAAAATCAATGGGGGAAAAAATATCAAGTGAGGATTTTAAAAATAACTTTTGTCCAAAAAAATGATCACCTACACTGAGGGAGAAAGCTTGTATGCTAAAAACATCATTATGTGACCTCAAACTGAGGGGAAAAAACAGACCTCCTAAAATAAGGTATGCATAGGACACAAGTTTAAGCCACTTTAAACAGCAGCATGAACACCCCTGCAAGCCAATACTGCCTACAAGCTTCACCCATCTATGGCAAAGAGAGAAACCACCCTGGTTGGCATTTGCCTCTACACCAACTGGAACCATCACTTATACAGCCTCTGCTGATCGCCTAGTTCAGGACTCTGTTTCAGAGAAACACATCCAGGACCTATCCAAATGCCACAATCTCTTGATACACTATTAACAATAAAAAATAAAAATATTTGAGTAAGATGTTATAGCTGAGGTAGCTTATACAATGTTGGGGAAATGATGAATTTTTTTAGCAGATGCAAAAGCATCAGTCAGCATGCATTTGGAGCCTCCACAAGATCAAACATTCTACCTACCCTATTTCGGTTTAAAAACTGAAAAGTGACTGTACTCATCTTCTCTCAGGTACAAACAGTGACAATGGCTTCTTTTACTATAACCTGGAGTAAGTATTTTATGAGAAAAGTCTTCTAGAGGAAAAGAACCAGTGATGTGTTTCCTTAAATGAGTATCAAAACTCAGGCTGTGGAGCAGACATGGGGAATTAGGTTTGTATGACCATGAAGAGCTGCAAGGATCGCAAACACAGTATTAATTTCTTTATTTTCTTCTTTCTGAAGTCTGCGGACTGAGAAGCCTGCAGCTCCAGTGAAAATGTCATAATAATAGTTTAAATTACTGTCAGGAAGAAAGATTGAGATTCACAGACACCCAGAAAAATCCAACACTGCTTTTGGAATTATCACAGGGGGAAAAAAGAGCAACTCTATTGATGTCACCCTCCTTATGTGAAATTTACAGACCTAAAAAGCAAATTTAAAAAGTGCAATAATACCACTGCCTTGGTTTCAACGTCTTCAGAAAAACCACAGAGATTCTTTAGTATACATCCACATTTTAGTGGAAAATTTTTGAAACAAATCAAATTTGAATGAACTTGGAGACTGTTTTCAAAATTAAGAATCCCAGAAGATGCTAGAAACTCATTAACAGCAAGTTGAAAGAGGAGAGAATTAACAGGTGGCTTGGTTCTGAATAGTAATGATCTTCAATGGGGAGCAGTGGCTGCATGAGACCCAAGGAAAGCTCCTGGTTGCAGGTGAGGTTCTGATCTCCTGCTGCTTGGTGGTTCTGGCAATGGTCGCTCTGTAACTCAAGCAGCATGCACTTACGAATTGTGCACTTTCCTGTAAGCGTATTATATTTTGATTCTAAAAGCTGACTACTGCTACTGTTAATGGTAATACTACTAAAAATAGTGGTGATAAAAGAATAAGAAAGAATAGGAAAAGGAAGGAAAAGAAAAAAATAATGGAGGGTGGGAGAGATGATGAAAGGACAGAAAAAGGCACCAGATACTTCATTACCGTCAGAAATTATTCAGATAACTGTCATTACATGTTCTTCTTGCTGGCAATAAAGTTTTCAAGTGTTAGGAATCGAGTAAATAACTTGAGTTTCACAGAATGAGGATGAATGTGAAAGATAGTTAACGGGTGGGAGGAAGTACTTAGGTGAGCCAGACCTTAGCTAGGCGGTGCAAGTGCATGGCTATCTCCGAGGGGCTTAAATGAGAAAGAACCCCACAACACAGGATCCTGAAACCTGCTCGCCTGTCTTGCTCTTTGAACCTGGTTCTCTGACAGACTGAAGTGTGAAAATTGGGGGTGGGTAGTTTGGGGTAGGCAATGAATATGCCTACTGAGACACTGGAAGAACATATAGAGAGTACTAGTTAGAGGTACTGACTATATCAAGAAAATTTTTTTTAAAAAAAAGATAGTAATTGCAGATATACTCCTCTGACCACCGAAACCCTTTTTAAAAGGTAAATGTTCTAAGTCTGTCAGTAGTCAATCATTACATAAACAAAGGCTAGAGAGAATGGCAGAAACAAGTGGGAAAGCCTACAGCATTTGCTAATTGACTGAGAGGGAATACACGTTTGTCCTGATTAGTTGTTTCTAGCTCCCTTTTCTTGCATTTAAAAAAAAAAATTTCTGTGTACTAGATTGTATGTTTTTCTTTATAATAAATGGAAGAAGCCGAAACCTGTTTGGTT